TGCCCAGCCATGTACTCCCTGTGCCACCTTGTGGACATGGCCGGAACTCACCTCCCCCACCTTTGACAAGCAGGGGCGGGTGACTTCTGACCTTTGGTTCAATGACCCAAATCTGAGACATGTCCTGTGCCCCCTTAGTGCCTCACCATCTCAGCGTCGTCTGTGGTGCTGTGTAACCAGGTTCTCGTCTCCTTCTGCACCTGCCCTCCATCCCCTCTGTGTCTCCCCCATGTCCCCCTGTCCCCCACCCCAGTCCTGCTGATGGCCTGCCAGCCTTGCCGAGGAGCTGGGCGTATATGGTGTTGCAGATCACACAAGGTCAGACCTTGGGGCTGGGAGGGCCAGGGTCCCCGTCTCTCCCCAGGGCCCTGAGAGGGCTGTTTAGGAACCCCCATTATATGCATGTGCTTTGGTATGGTACCAAAACGTGACCGGGATGGAGGCTGTGATTCCTGGGAACGAGGCTGGACCTGTGCCGTGGTTCCCCTTCCCACCTCTTGCCCGCTTTCACCCCCCCTCCTGTTCATCCTTTTCTTGTGGCTGCTTGGGTCTGCCACCCTGTCCCTCTGTCTGTCCCAACTTGTGCCTGTCTGTTCTGTGTCCGGCAAACGGATGTCCTGTCCAGATTCCGGAAACGCCCAAAGCATTGAAATCTCCGGACGTGGGGGTCTAGGTCCCTGGTTGCTCTTGGAAGAGGGGAGGATTCTGGGAGATAGGCCTGAGGTCCCCTGCTTTACAATGAGAGGTGGTGGAGCAGGGATTCTCTAAGCCTGGGCCAGGCCCCTGATTCATGGGTTCACCCTGCTGGCCCTCTGGTGACTCCTGCCTCCTGGGTAGGAGTGAGTCACTCTAGGGAGAACCCAGGAGGTCAGGCCTCCCTTCCTCCCTGCCCTGCATATTCTCAAGCCTCAGCTGCCGGAGGTCAACTGCTCCTCTCTGCCTGGACCCCCATTTGAGATGGTTCTGCTCCTGGCTGCACCCCTGCTCTGCCTGCTGGGGGCTGGGTGGGGCTGGGCAGTGGGCACGGCCTGGTTGGGAGTGGGTAGTATTAGATGACCCTGAGTTTAAATTCCAGCGCTGTCACTTCCCTGCCGTGTGTCCTGGGCCGGGTGCCTTTGTCTCTCTGAGCCTTGGTTCTGCTGTTAGAAAAATGGGACTAAGAGGGTGTGGTGTGTTCATGGTTGGGAGGAAATGTAGACCAGCACTCTGCAGGTGGGGCTGCTGTGAAATCCTTAGTTATTATTACTATCCTAGTTATTATTACTATTATTATTACTCAGGTCAGACTTGAGCTTCAGAGGGCCACTGGTTTGGGGTACCCTCACCCCACCCCTCCAGCACTGTTTTCTTAGATCTCAGGGAGGTGCCCTTGGCCAGCCTCCATCCCGGTCATGTTTGGTACTGGCAGTCATGGTCAGTAGCGCAGGGTGTCAGTCTGTGTCCTTTAACCCAGGTTTCTCGGCCTCAGCATTATTTTTTTAAAATATATTTTTATCGATTTCAGAGAGGGAGAAACATCAGTGATGAGAGAGAATCATTGATTGGCTGCCTCCTGCAAGCCCCTTACTGGGGATCAGGCCCACAACCCAGGCATGTGCCCTTGACCGGATTCGAACCCGGTACCCTTTAGCTGGCAGGCCGACACTCTATCCACTGAGCCAAACTGGCTAGGGCAGCCTCAGCACTGTTGACCTTCGGGGCTGAATCGTTCTTTGAGGTGGGGACTGCCCTGTGCACTCCAGGTCATTGAGCAGCATTTCTAGTCTCAACCCACTAGATGCCAGTAGCACCCCCTCCTCACGCCCAGCTGTGACAACCAAACATGTTTCTGGGTGATGTCACATCCCTCAGAGGTGGGGTGTGCAAAGTCCCCCACCCTCACTGAGAACTGCTCTGTCATCTCTCTGAGCCTCAGTTTCCTCACCTGTAAAGTGGGGGGAGAATAATGGCAGCTGCTCAGGGTTAATGTGAGTGATTGGTGGGGGTGTGGCTCTTAGCCTGCTGTAAACCCTCCCTGGGGGCAGCTGCCCTCGAGGTTGGTCAGGAGCCAAGGAAGACTTTCTCCATCTGTGAAATGGGATCTCTAGGGGGATGGGGTTTGGGGGGGTCAGCGCCTGACAGTGGAGCTGCACTAGGGTTCTGGGCACTCCTGCTGTAAGTCCTGGTTCTGCCTCGTGCTGGCTGTGAGACCTTGGGACAAGCTATGTCACCATTCTGGTTCAGTTTCTTCATCTTGAAAATGGGGTGATAACACCTGTAATACTTTCCGCAATAAAGATAAATTTATAAAAGAAAATGGGGTGATAATAGCACCTGCCTCATGGACTTCATTAGCTGCCCTGGGTTATTATTACTATCATTATTACTCAGGTCAGACTTGAGCTTCAGAGGGCCCCCGGTTTGGGGTACCCTCACCCCACCCCTCCAGCACTGTTTTCTTAGATCTCAGGGAGGTGCCCTTGGCCAGGCCAGGCCCCCTAGGCCTCCAAGCTGTAGTCAGCAGCAGTGGGCACGCAGAGGAAGCAGGAAGTTGTGACTGCCTGCATCTGCAGGCAGGGGGCTGGCTCATGTAAACAACCATGTACATTTGCATATCGGTGTACACTCGTGTTCTGTGCACATGCCCGTAGGTATATGAGAGTGTGCATACCTCGGAGTCAGCCCCGGGGGCCTGTATACCCTTGGGGGAGCCTGCCTTCAAGTTCATTCAGACGGGTGCTGAGGAGAAAGGTTCCCTAGATGCACAGAGCCCCGGAGCTGGCCCAGCGCAGGGGTTGCTGGGAGCTAGCAGGAAAGAGGAAGTGGCCAGTGAGAGGCCCTGGTAGGGCTGAGGTTCAGGAAGAGGGCAGGGCCCTCAGCCGGGACCCAGGATGGCGGAGGCTGATCCACCTTTGGACCAGGAGCTGGAGGTGGGGACTGGGGTCCCTGTGGGAGGAGGGCAGAAGAGGACCCCAAGCAGCACAGGCCAGAGGCCCTGCTCTTGGTGCCCCTCAGTTTGGGACAGAAGAGAGGAGCTAGGTTGGAGTTTCTGTTTGGAAGATGGAACTATCTGAGGCCCTTGGGCGCTCCCACGCCAGGGAGATAGAGGAAGAAAGAGATAGGGCTCTGCTTCTTAGGTCCTGGCTGTCGGGGATAAGAGGAGGGGGGACGGGGACTGTCATTGCGGCCTCCTAGTTTGGGGGTATAGCAGAGGGAAGATGAGGCCGGCATGGCACTTGCTAGTTTGAGGCACAGCAAAGGGGAGAAAGAGCCTGTCCTCAGGACCCCGTCCCATAGTTTTGGGGGGCAGCAGAGGCCTGCCCTTGATACTTCCTTGATTGGGGAGCAGCAGAGGGAAGATGGGGCCTCCTAGTCTGGAGGGACAGCAAAGAGGAGAAGGGGGTCTGCCCGCAGGACCTGGCCATTTGGAGGGGCAACGGAAGGGAGACAAGGCCTATCCTTGGGGCTCCCTAGTTTGGGAGGACAATGTAAGGGAGATAGGGCCTGTCCTAGGGGAACCCCCTAGTTTGGGGAGCACAGTGGGGGGGCAATGGGGCCTGTCCTCCAGAATCCCACCATGTAAGAAACAGGTAAAGGGAGACAGGGCATTGTCTCACCTCCCAGTTTTGGGGGTCAGAGGATGTGGAGCAGGCCCTGTCATGGGAGCCCCAGGCTGGGAGGAGGCCAGGCTTGGCTGGCTGAGTGGTCTTTACCCCACATCCTCCTGGCCCCACTGACCCTGCTCTGTCCCCGCAGAGTGAGCCCCGCAGCTGGTCCCTGCTGGAGCAGCTGGGTCTGGCAGGTGCTGACCTGGCAGCTCCCGGGGTGCAACAGCAGCTGGAACTAGAGCGGGAGCGGCTGCGGCGAGAGATCCGCAAGGAGCTGAAGCTGAAGGAGGGTGCCGAGAACCTGCGGCGGGCCACCACCGACCTGGGTCGCAGCCTCGGGCCTGTGGAGCTGCTGCTGCGAGGCTCCTCACGCAGGCTCGACCCTGCTGCACCAGCAGCTGCAGGAGCTGCACGCGCACGTGGTGCTTGCCCGACCCTGCGGCTGCCACCCATGGTGAGCAGGGCCTTCCCAGAGGAGGCGGGACTTCAGGGGCACCACTGCCCGGGACTGAGCTGCAGGTTCCCAGAGGGAGGCTGGCCCCATCTCACTGACCCCCAGGGAGACACACTGGGTTACAGTAGCCTCCACCCTCAAAAACAGTTCGAGCAAACATCAAAACCAACACCCAGAGAAAGGACCAACACCCAGAGACTTACAGTGCCACACAAGAACCCCAGACCACACACAGCCACACCAACGCCTGGACAACACCAAAGGACCCACCCAGTGTTACACCAGTATCTAGACTCACAGTCACACCAACACCCAGACAACACCCAAGGACTTAGACACTATCATGTGAATCCCAGGAAGGCTTCAAGACACCACAGCACACAGAGACTTCCATACTGCCAGCCAGCACCCAAACAGATGCACACACAGTCACACCAACACACAAACAATACACACCCAGAGACTCACACACGGTCACACCAACCCCCACAGATTCACATAAACACAGCTGTCTAGCTCTTCCAGACGTACACTGTCCTATCAACAACCAGAGACTTGTATGCATAACGGGCCAGGGCCTGAAGACCCAACACCACTTCCACCAGCACCCAGCCTTTCCATACAATAGGCATATCAATAGCTAGGGGCCCACACTGTCATGTCAGTACTATGAGATAGTGCGTTAGGCCAACACCCAGAGTCACTCCCACAGTCACATTACTCTCCACAGAGTCACACAGAGCCATGCCAGCTCCAGAGACATGAGTATCTGGCTGTACACACCCAGGCACTCAGACACAGTCATACCAGCACCTGAGATCTGAACATGTAGTTGTGCCAACAGAAACATGCTAGGGTCGCCCCAGCACCCAGATTCTCACACAGTCCTTTTTTCTTTTCTTTTTTAAATGTTTTCTTGATTTATAGAGAGAGGGGGAGGGAAAGGGATAGAGAGATAGAAATATTGATGAGAGAGAAATATCATTGATCAGGTGCCTCCTGCACGCCCCTACTGGAGATAGAGCCTGCAACACGGGCATGTGCCCTGACCCGGAATCAAACCAGCAGCCTCTTGGTCCATGGGTCGACGCTTAACCTCTGAGCCACACAAGCTGTGCTGACATAGTCCTGCCAACTTGCTGTCTCACATAGTTACACAAGCGCCTAGGGAGACGCACACTGGCTTCATCATGCCAGTACCCTATGGGTTACAGATAACCACACTCAATCCCATGGCCTCCACACAGCTGTGTAAAGAATTAGGGGCCTCTGTTCACAGTCCCACCAACACTGAGGACTCATGCACACCTGGACACTTGCCCATTCATGCTGGTCCTGCCCTGGCACTGAGGGGTTCCCTCCGAGGTCTGGGGTGGTTGGATCCTCAGGGCCCTGACCTGGGATGGAATCCAGGTTGGACAGAGGGCAGATCCTTTCAGCTGGGCCAAACCTCCTGGGCAGATGGAGGTGAGGGCCCTGGTGACTCTGTCGCACCCACCTCTCTCCAGATGCCCCCCTGTCCCCTGGTGAGGGTGGCCCGGCCTGCTCAGCCACCAACCTGAGCCGCGTGGCTGGTCTGGAGAAGCAGCTGGCCATCGAGCTGAAGGTGAAGCAGGGGGCAGAAAACATGATCCAGACATACAGCAACGGCAGCACCAAGGTAGGGCACAAGCAGGCACCCCCATGTGCATGCATGCTCTTGAACTGGTCATGGGCAGCGGGTGGGAGAGGTCGGGGGCTAGGGGAGGACAGGGACTGACGGGGGGCGGGAGGCAGGACTGGGGTGCAAGCAGGCCCTATGGGAAAGGGGGTGACTGTGTGTGATGTCAGACAGACACATGGCAGAGACTGTCCTCCCACACTTAGTTGTCCCCTAGAGACTTGAGGGTGTCCATGGTCAGGCCCACACAGAGCCACTCACTGCTAGTGACATCTCTCTGACACATGTCAACACCTGGATGCACACATGTCATCAACCTAACATCCAGAGACATACCCATGTCATAACATCTAGAGTCACAGAGTCATAGCAACACCTAGACACACACACACCATATAACATGTAGAGACATCACCTAGACCCCCAGATACACCACTAAATTCACACCCAGAGACCAGAGTTTTCATACAGATATCCCCCCAGGCATACCAACACGGGGGGGGGGCACCACTAGTTTGGGAGGACAATGTAAGGGAGGTAGGGCCTCATTGCCCCCCCAGTGTTTTGTCTCAACCCACTAGATGCCAGTAGCACCCCCTCCTCACACCCAGCTGTGACAACCAAACATGTTTCTGGGTGATGTCAGACACAGGTCTGTCTGTCCCAACACCCAGAGACACTCACACAGACAGGCAGTCAGACATGCTGCTAGAGACACTTGTTCCCCCATGCTCGCGCGCGCGCGCACACACACACACACACACACACACAAATACTACATGTGAGGGAATAAGCTACACAGATTATTTTTTCTAGCTTTTATTGAGCGATAACATGCAGACTATGGGAAACTTAAGTGTACAACCCAATGAAATTTTACCTGTGTACACACCACCCCATCAAAATCCAGAACATTTCCAGTCACCCAGAAAGTTCCCTCCTTCAGTCAATACCCAGGCTTCTCTCACCACAGGTTAGCTTTGCCTGGTTCTGAAACACAGCACAAAGTGGATGGAAAAATCCACAACCAGTTTCTTTTTTTTTTTTTTTAATATGGAACGCTTCACGAATTTACGTGTCATCCTTGCGCAGGGGCCATGCTAATCTTCTCTCTATCCTTCCAATATTAGTATATGTGCTGCCAAAATGAGCATGACAACTGTTTCTACTACTTGTGTGCACAGAGGGTCCTGGGCTATGTCCAGTCATTTCGGTACCTTGAACTGCACACAGAAACATCTGGAGCCCCATTATAGCAGACTGTCTCATACACCCACCCAGTCACCCTTGGAGACTCACCCAGTGGCTACAGTCAGGGCTACACCTGCCATGGGGACGTGCATGCGTGCGAACAGCTGATGCGAATACAGTGCCTGCTGGTTCCAGGCACAGCCCTGAGCTCTTCATACAGATCAGCCTCTTTAATCTTCAGCCCAGTGGGGATCAGTGCTCTTAGTACTGATCCCATTCTTGCAGATTGAGGAAACAAGCCCAGAGAGGTTAAGTGGCTTGCCTGAAGCCACACAGCTGTGGCAGAGCCAGGATTCAGGCCCCCTGGGCTGCATCACCCCTTTACATCCAGGAGCACACAGATACAGACACTGTGTCACACCGTCACCCAGGCCTGCACTGTGTGGACAGTAAGGCCAGTGGTCGGACCCCAGCTGTTCAGCAATCCTCTCATTTCCTACCTCTGCCCCCAGGACCGGAAGCTGCTATTGACGGCCCAGCAGATGCTACAGGACAGTAAGACCAAAATTGACATCATCCGCATGCAGCTCCGCCGGGCGCTGCAGGCCTGCCAGCTGGAGAGCCAGGCAGCCCCAGATGAGGCCCAAGGTGAGCCCCTCGCCTTGAGACAACCTAGCCTGCATTTAGACTTGCAGTTCAGCTCTCAGCCCTGAGAGGGAGCCCTTTCTGTGGCAGAGAGGTGGGTGCTGTGACTCACTCTGTGACTGGAGCCTGTTCCCAACCCTCTCTGGGCCTCAGTTTCCCATTTTGTCCCACTTGAAGTTTACCCTAGATCAGATTTTGGCAAACGATAGCCCACAGGCCAAATCTGCTACTGCTTTGTAAATTTTTATTGGCACACAGCAATGCCCATTCATTTACTATCATCTAAGGCCAGTTTTGCACTGGGACAGCAGAGCTGTGTAGTGGCAACAGAGCCTGTGTGGTCTGCAAAGCCAAAAATATTTACTCCCAAATTTTATAGAAAAAATTGCAGACATCTGGACTAAGTGGTTGCCTTGTCATGTTGGTTCATGTTGTATAAATCTGTGGGTGTCCACCGCATGTGTGTCTCTGTCAATGAATGCCTGAGGGGTGTCTCAACCTGATTGTCAGCCTGAACTTGTGGCAGGGTCTTGATGTATTGTGTGACTGTGTCTGCAACTGATGTGTGTCAGCATTTATGTGCCATAGACTGTGGGACCATCGGTTGAGTGTATGCCCTGGTAACTATGCTAGTTTGTGTGTCACCATGACAGATAGAGGAGTGTCAGCTGTTGGTGGGTGTTAGGGTGTTTGGGCTGCTATTACAGAACCACAGACTGTGTGGCTAATAAACAGAAATTTATTGCTCACAGTCTGGAGGCTGGAAGGCCAAGATCAAGGTACTCGCAGTTCCAGTGTCCGGTGAGGCCCACTCCTTGGTTCAGAGATGGTGTCTTCAAGCTGTCTTCATGTGGTGAAAGGGGCGAGGGAGCTCTCCAGGGTCTCTCTTATTTATTTATTTAATTTATTTAAAAAAATATATTTTTATTGATTTCTGAGAGGAAGGAAGAGGGAGAGAGAGAGAGATAGAAACATCAATGATGAGAGAGAATCATCGATCAGGCTGCCTCCTGCATGTTCCCCACTGGGGATGGAGCCCACAACCTGGGCATGTGCCCTGACTGGGAATTGGACCTCAGCCTCCTGGTTAAATAGGTCAACACTCAACCACTGAGCACACCGGCCAGGCCTGGGGTCTTTGTTATAAGGGCACTAATCCCATTCATGAGGGCTCCACCGTCATGATCTAATCACCTCCTAAAGGTCCCACTTCCTAATACTGCCATGTTGGGGCTGGGTTTCAACATAGGAATTTTTTTTTTAATATATTTTATTGATTTTTTACATAGAGGAAGGGAGAGAGACAGAGAGTCAGAAACATCGATGAGAGGGGAGTGTCAGTATGACTGTCCCTGTGATTGTCTCTCTGTATTGTGAATACCTTTGTGGGTTTCTCAGTGATGGTGTGATGATGGCCATGCACTTCTCGGTGAGATCATGAACTTGGGGACAGTATGACTTTGTCCTGTAAGTGTAAGTCTCAGTGATTGTCTGAGTGCCATGAGACAGCAGGCCTAGAAGCAAGAGTGTGACTATGTTTGTAAGATGACGTGCCTATGAATATCAGGGTTCCTGTGGCACTCTGTTGTCGGTGTGCAGGTGAGTGCCATACACCTGTGGGTAATGGTATGCCTCTGTGACAGCGCCAGCGTCTGGTCTGGTGTACAGGACAGCGAGACTGTTGGGCTGTTTCCCGTCTTTTGCTCTTAGAAAGAAGGCTGCCATGAATAGTGTACCTATGTCAAGACAGCCATGGATAAGTGTGACCATGGCCTTGTGCCTCTGGGTGACAAGTTTCATACGCCTGTGTGACAGTGTGTCCCGGTGCCTGCTCCTGTGCCTTTGGTGACTGGCTGTGTCCTGTGTCTGACTTCACACTGGGTGTGACAGCCAGCTTTTCGACATTGGGTCACCATGCCTATGGGTATGGGTGGCACTGCCCTGCCTGGGTGACAGTGTGATGGCATTTCTTTGCCTAGCTCTGTGCCTTATCTATGTGGCCGTGTGATTACATTCTTATTATTTTCCCTGGGCTGGAGTTAGAGTCCTGGGAGTTCTGCCGTGGTGTGACCGTGTGTCTTAAGGGTCTTGTGATCATGCCCATCTGTCCCTCTGACAATGTCCCTTTGCCAAAATTGGGTTGTTTCCAGTCTTTTGCTCTTAGAAAGAAGGCTGCCATGGATAAGAATGTACCTCTGTCAAGTGCAGAGGTGTTTCTATGGGATGCAGTCCCTGAATTGGGATGTGGATCAAAGAGCAAATACAGCCCTGACCAGTTTGGCTCAGTGGATAGAGCATCAGCCTGTGGACTGAAAGGTCCCAGGTTCGATTCCGGTCAAGGGCATGTACCTTGGTTGCGGGCACATTCCCAGTAGGGAGTGTGCAAGAGGCAGCTGAATCGATGTTTCTCTCTCATCGATGTTTCTAACTCTCTATCCCTTTCCCTTCCTCTCTGTAAAAAATCAGTAAAATATATTTTTTTAAAAAGAGTAAATACATTTGTGATTTTGACAGACATGGCCAAACTGCCTCCATTGAAAGGCAACTTGTATTCCCATCAGCAAGGAATAAAAGTTACTTTTTAAAAAAATGTCCTGTGTTTGTGTGACTATATTCTTGTGGCTGTCCAGTTGTCCATGGCGTCCCCATGACAGTCCCTGGGGATGCAGTAGGATCCTGCCGATGTTTCTGTCCCTCAGCCTGTGTTGACAGCGTGCCTGTGTGTATGACCGCCCAGTGTGACAGCCTCTGTCCGAGACCCTCCCTGGGAGTGACATTTGGATAAAAGAGCCTGACCACCCCGTGGGTGAAACCCGATGCATGTTGGTGGTGATATGTCTGTGGCCCGTACCAGCTCTTATGGAAGGCTGTGTGTCTGGGTCTGGGTTGGTCAGACCTGGATCCCAGGCCCGCCTCACTGCCCTGTGTCCTGTGCCCACAGGGAGCCCGGACCTGGGGGCGGTGGAGCTGCGCATTGAGGAGCTGCGGCACCACTTCCGAGTTGAGCACGCGGTGGCCGAGGGCGCCAAGAATGTGCTGCGCCTGCTCAGCGCCGCCAAGGCCCCGGACCGCAAGGCAGTCAGCGAGGTGAGCAGGGAGGTCTCCATGTGAGAGGGGCGGGGCCTCCGTGTAGGGGCGGGGCATTTAGTGATGTGGGGCGGGGCCTCCGTGTGGGGGCGGGGCCTTGGCATGGGAGTGCCGCGATGGGGGTGGGGGCTTTAGTCCGTGTGATCAGACCTACTTTTCAGGAAGTTCAGGGGTAGGACCCAGAAGGCTTGGGTTTGGGGCCTCAAGGGAAAAGGGGCCCTAGGTAGGACTTAGTCGGACACCCCCAGCCCAGCTGTGTCCCCAGCCGGCCCTGCTCCTCCTCCTGCAGGCCCAGGAGAAGCTGACGGAGTCCAACCAGAAGCTGGGGCTTCTTCGAGAGGCGCTGGAGCGGCGACTTGGGGAGCTGCCCACTGACCACCCCAAGGGGCAGCTGCTGCGCGAGGAGCTCGTTGCAGCCTCGTCCGCAGCCTTCAGTGCCCGCCTGGCCGGGCCCTTCCCTGCCATGCACTACAGCACCTTATGCAAGCCCTCACCGCTCACAGGTGGGTCCCGACCTCCCCTACCCGAACCCACCCCACAGCTCTGGACTCCTGACCCCTCACTGTCCCCAAACCCCCTCCTTACCCCCACCCAAAGATCCAGACTCCCATCCCACTGTTGTCACTTTTCCATTCACCCCAACCCTACAGCCTGGGCCCCATGCACCCTGGACTCCTGCCCCACCTTGCCCTCTGATTTTGGACTTCTCTCTCACTTTCTGCACCTCCCCATCCAGCTCTGCCTTTCTCCTGCAGCCATAGTCCCTCAGTGCAGCCACTCACTCTTAGAACCTTCGGTGCTGAACCTCTGCCCCTGCCCCTAACCCCACCCTCCTTAGACTCCTCAACCACTACCTCACCAGACCAACCCTACAGTAGGCCTCAGCCCCTGCCCTGGACCTCAGATGGCCCTCTGAATCATGGCCTAGTTCTGCTCTGCTTCTCCTTGCCTGGACTTCGAGCCTACACGCTTTTCTGTCCTAAACCCCAACACCTGGCGCCCCTCCCCAGCCTGGCCTGCTGCAGCCTCCCCCTCCCCCTGGTCCCATATTCCTTATTTCTGGGCACAGCCATCCTGTGTCAGATCCCCTGCCCCATCCTGATTGTCCTTCACCAGCTCCCACTTGCGTGCTGGCTGTTTCTGTATATACCCACTTCACCTGGGGCCCCCTCCCTTCTACCTGCCCCAATGGTGGTTCCCCCCTGAGCCTCACCCTCCCTCAGGGACCCTGGAGGTGCGTGTGGTGGGCTGCAGGGACCTTCCAGAGACCATCCCCTGGAACCCTTCACCCTCAACGGGAGGGCCTGGGCCCCCGGACAGCCGCACCCCCTTCCTGAGCCGGCCAGCTCGGGGCCTTTACAGCCGAAGTGGAAGCCTTAGTGGCCGGAGCAGCCTCAAAGCAGAAGCCGAGAACACCAGTGAGTGGGTCTGGAGGGATGAGGTGGGGTGAGGGTCTTTGGATACCCCACATGTATAACACTCTAACGGCACACTCATTAAGATGGGTACTGTAAACTGAACAACACGTGTCAGGGAGGATGTGGAGAAATTGGAACCCTTGGGCACAGTTGGTGAGAATGTAAATGGTGCAGCCACTGAACAGCATGACAGATCCTCAAAAAATTAAACATGGAATTGCCATTTGACCCAGCAGTCCTGCCTCTGAGTATATGCCCAAAAGAGTTGAAAGCAGATTCTTGAAGAGACGTTTGCACACCTGTGGTCATAGCAGCATGACTCAACCATAGCCAAAAGGTAGAAGCAACCCCAATGTCCATTGAACCACCTTGTGCTGAGTGAAATAAGCCAGTCACGAAAAGACAAATGCTGTGATTCCACTCATGTGCGGTCTCTAGAGTAGTCCAACTCATAGAGGTGGAAGGAATGGTGGTTCCCAGTGACTCAGGGGGGAGGATGGGGAGTTAATGCTTAATGAGGACAGAGTTTCAGTTTGGGCATATGAAAGCGTTCTGGAGATAGATGGTGGTGTTGGTCACATAACAACATGAATATACTTAATGTCACGTGGCTGTACACCTAAAAATGTTTATGATGGTAACTTTTATATGAATTTACCACAATAAAAAACACTAATATATATAAAGTATGTGTAACGAAAAATAACAATAGGGCAAACATTCATATATCCACCACCCAGGTCAAGAAATAGAACTCTCTGGAAGCTTCCTCAGGTTCCCTCCCCAATTCTAGCCCCTTCCTTTTCTGTCCTAGTGGTAGCTACTCTTCCGACTTCATGGTTGTCTTTTTTTTTCTTTTTCTTTTTTTGGTTTCCTTTGTAATTTTAGCACTTCATATATGTGGAAGCATACAGAATGTATTCCATATGAGTGGCTTCTTTCATTCAACATTGTTTGGAAGATGGATCCATATTGTTGTGTGGAACTATAGTTCATTCATTTTTACTCCTGTTTAATAGTCTATTGTCTTAAACTGAGCCAAATCAATTGATGTCTTTCAGGTTTTTTTTTACACAAATTTTTATATATATATTTTTAATTGATTTTTAAAAATATTTTGTATTGATTTGAGGGATAGAGAAAGGGAGAGAATTAGAGAGATAGAAACATGGAAGAGGGAGAAACATCAATTGGCTGCCTCCTGCACTCCCCTCACTGGGGATTGAGCCCGCAATCCAGGCATGTGCCCTGACCGGGAATCAAACTGGTGACCTCTTGGCTCATGGGTCAAAATTCAACTACTGTGCACGCTCGCCAAGTTGATTTTTTAAAAATTTTTTTAGAGACGAAGGGAGAGAGAGAAAGAGAGAAACACCAATCTGCTGCCTCATGCATGTCTCTTTTGTGTTGTTTTTTGTGTTGTAAAAAATAGTTGAATATCAGCAATTTCATGATTTAGCTAATAAGACTATATTGTCATTTTGAGGGTGTTCCTCAAAAATTTATACACATACTTTGAATAATTATAAAGGCAGTGTTTATTAAAGTACATTTCATTTTCAGAACTGAGCTGTCAGCTGTTAAAGTGTGTATACATTTCTGTGGGACACCCTATGTGTTAATTCCTCTGTTAATGGACAGGGAGATGCTCCCAGTTTGGGGCCATTATATAAGCATTATATTATGCATCTCCTGGTGCATATCTGCATGCATTTTTCTAGGGCAAATATTTAGGAGTACATTGCTGGAATGTGTAATGTGCATATAGAATAAAAGTAAATTTGGATCGCTACCTCACATCATACACAAAAATCAACTGGAGGTGGATTAAAGGCCTTAATATGAAAGGTAGACCTAACTGGGTTGGCTCAGTGGATAGAGTGTTGTCCTGTGGACTGAAGGGTCCCTGGTTCAATTCTGGTCAAGGGCACATGCCCTGGTTGCAGGTTCAATCCCCAGTGTGGGGTGTGCAGGAGGCAGCCAATCAATGATTCTCATCATTGATGTTTCTCTCTCTCCCTCTCCCTTCCTCTCTGAAATCAATAAAAATATATATATTTTTAAAAAGATAGCATAGCAGAATATTATGATAGGAAATATGATAAAAATATTTAATAAGATATAAGAGCTATATCCCACCCCAGCATTTCCTGACCCTCTCATCCCCCCACCCCTCTTCCCCGGTTGCAGGTGAAGTTAGTACTGTGCTCAAGCTGGATAACACAGTGGTGGGACAGACATCCTGGAAGCCATGTGGTCCCAACGCCTGGGACCAGAGCTTCACCCTGGAGCTAGAGAGGGTGAGCTAGGTTGGGGGACAATGGGGCCTGAAGGAGGAGGGTTCTGGGCCTTGGGCACCCCCAAATGATGGCTCTCTTCCTTTCCCTTGAGGCACGGGAACTGGAATTGGCTGTGTTCTGGCGGGACCAGCGGGGCCTGTGTGCCCTCAAATTCCTGAAGTTGGAGGATTTCTTGGACAACGAGAGGCATGAGGTCCAGCTGGACATGGAACCGCAGGGCTGCCTGGTGGCTGAGGTACAGCCGTACCCCTAACCCTGAGAAAATACTTCCTGCATCTCCAGCTCCAAATTTGGAAGATATGTATCGATTGGGCTCAGAACCTTGATAGAAAAGTACATCTAATTAGTTACATCAGTGACATGACTTAAGCTTGGATTGGTTTTGTTTTGAGGCAAGATTTTTTAAAAATTTTTTTAATCACAGAATTTTGTCAAACCAGAAAAGAAAAACAAAACTTGGCAACATGTCATGGCCCATGGCAACACATGCTAGCAGAGCCAGTCAAGTAGAGAGAGATTCCTTCTGCAGTGGGGTTAGGGTTCAAGTCCGGGGATCCCACCCTCAGCACTGTAGACATGGGGGTGTTGTCCTGTGGACTGAAGGGTCCCTGATCATTCTCAGTTGCAGGGGCCATTCTGTACATTGTAGGGTATTGAGCAGCATCCCTGGTTTCCACCCCCAGGATACCAGTTGCAACCCCCCCGGTTGTGACAGCCACAGTGTCTCCAGACCTTGTCAGTCGTCCCCTGGTCGAGGGGCCATGATCTGAATAACATTCCTAGCTGACCCCTTGCCATATGTCCCCAGTGCCTTGCTGACGTTCACTTGTTCATCCTCACAACAACCTAATGCACAGCTGACAGTGGAGGAAACTGAGGCCCAGAGAAGAAAAGCCCCCGGCCCTTCCTTTAGCCCAAATTATCCTAAAAAATTTTTTTAATTTGCCTCTAACATATTCATGTGCCCTGTTTTATATATACATACATCCCTCCCCATACCCATATCCCCGTGTGAAAATTCTTACGTGATCTCATAATCCAGGAACTGAAGGAAACGAGGAGCTGACTTCAGTGGCAGGCCAGTTTCTTCTATGAACTGGTGGGGTGGCCCGGGGGCAGATTCTGAAGCCTTCAGGGTTTCTCTCTGGCATTTGATTTTGTTTTATGCTTCCCCAAAATGCCATCCTGTAGAACTTTCTATAGTTGTGTTGTCGATGAGCCAACAACAGTTGCATTCTACTGTGGGAGGAAATGTTTTCTGTCCGTGTCGTCCAGTATAGTAGCCGCCAGCCTAGTAGCCACTTGAAGTGTGGCCAGTGTGACTGGGGAACTGAAACGTTAAAGTTACTTAAGTTTTGTTTCACTTAAATAGCCACATGTGGCTAGTGGCAACTGTATTGGACACACATAAAGTGACACCGTTCTGTGACTTTAGCACTTTCTAGAAGATGTGTTGGAGTTTGGAGAATTCACCTAGACCAGTGGTGGCCCCACCTGGGTGGGCACCAGTATCACCTGGAGGGCTTATTGAAACACCGCTGGGCCCCACCCCTGGTGTTTCTGAATCAGTGAGTCCAGGTGGGGGCTCGTGGATCTGCATTTCTAGCACCTTCCCCAGCAATGCTGATTTGCAGGTCTGGGACCGCTCTCGGGAATCAGGGCACTAAGTGACGTAGGACCTGTTTGCTGGAGTTGAATGTGCATCTTGTTGGGTCAGACTCCCTCCCCACCCCTTGAGGAAGGCTTGGGTGCCTGCTTCTCGTGTCTCCAAAATGGCACTCTCTCTCTCCCTTCCTTGCTCTCTCCTTTCCTTGCCTCCCGCACGCACCCCAACTGGGGCCGAGGAGGTGGCTCTGCCAAGCGGCGGATTGGTTTTGTAACCCCTTTATATGGTGCAGTGCCACAGTGATCGGAATCCCCAAAACACGCATGTGCACACCTCTGCTCCTAAGGGCTTCTCCACTAAGCTGCCTGGAAGTGGGCAAGGGTCCTCACCCGGTGACCCCTCTCCCCAGGTCACCTTCCGCAACCCTGTCATTGAGAGGATACCCCGGCTTCGACGGCAGAAGAAAATCTTCTCCAAGCAGCAAGGTGAATGGGTGGGTCCGGGCAGGGGAGAGGCCCGGGGTCCCAGGAGCTCTTGGAGGGTGACACTGCCCCGTCCCCCAGGGAAGGCGTTCCAGCGCGCGAGGCAGATGAACATCGACGTCGCCACCTGGGTGCGGCTGCTTCGAAGGTTCATTCCCAGTGCCACGGCCACGGGCACCTTCAGCCCGGGGTCTTCTCCCGCACCTGAGACGCGATCCACAGGGTAAGGAGGACAGGCCCTGGGGGTCCCTGCTGCCCCTGTTGCTTCTCAGGGTGCTGGGTCCGATATGCCCTCCTTTTTTGTACTACAGCGACATATCCGTGGAGAAGCTTAACCTCGGGGCTGATCTGGACAACTCCCCCCTGAAGAGCCCTCTGGGTTTTCCTTCCAGCCCATCAAGTCTGGTAAGCATCTCTCTCCTCCCCTGAGCCTGGCTAGGCAGCATCAGGGGGCCTCCTTCCCAGCTCAAGGCCCAGAGACCACCAGGACCTTCCCTGGGTCACACAGCACTCCTCTGGCAGAACCCAGGTCCAGTTCTTTTTGTTGTTGTTAATCCTCACCTGAGAATATTTTTTCTATTGGTTTTTTTTAGAAAGAATGGAGGGAAGGAGGAAGGAGGAGAAAGAGAGAGATTGAGAGAGAAACATCGATGTGAGAGAGACACATCGATTGCTTGCCTCCTGCATGAGCCCCAACTGGGGCAGGGAGTGAACCTGCAACCCAGTGCAAGTTCCTTGACAGGGAATTGAACCCGTGACCCTTCAGTTCTTGGGCCGATCTCTAACCACTTAGCAACACCTGCCAGGGCAGGGTCCAGTTCTTTATCCTGGATAAAAACATGAGCCTAAGAGCTAGGCCTCCTGGTCCCCATTCCTGCTCTGCTACCTCCTAGCTGTGTGACCCATGCCAAGCACTGCCCTGTAAAAATGAGCATGTTTAAAACTCATGTCAAAAATAGAAGTCAAGATAGTGGTTTTCTCTAGGTGGGGTGGGGGTGGTTATTAATAGGAGGGGGACACAGGGGAGCCTGCCAAGTGATAGGAGTCTTCTACATCTTGCTCTAGGTCAGAGGTCAGCGTACTTTTTCTGTAAAGGGTGATATAATCAGTATTTTCATCTTTGTGGGCCAGATAGCCTTGGTCCTAACTATCAACACTGCCATTGTAGAAAGCAGCCACACATAATACTCACATACACCAGCGGGTGTGGCGGTGTTCTGGGAGAACCTGACTGGTGGACACTGAAGTTTCAGTGATACATCATTCTCCTAGATCATTCTTTCGATTTTCCCATCCCCTTAAAAATTTAAAGGCCATCCTGAGTTTACAAACCATAGAAAAAACAGCATTTACCCACCCCTCGTCTAGGCATGGGGACCCAGGTGGACATGTATATGATAGCTAATCCCTTCACCACCTCCCTGAGTGCATTTTTAAATTATTATTATTTTAAAATATATGTTGATTTCAGAGAGGAAGGGAGAGGGAGAAAGATAAAAACATCAATGAGGAGAGAGAATCATTGATTGGCTGCACACCCCCTACTGGGGATCAAGCCTGCAACCCAGGCGTGTGCCCTTGACCAGAATTGAACCTAGGACCCTCCAGTTTGCAGGCCAACACTCTATCCACTGAGCCAAACCAGCTAGGGCCTGAGTGCATTTTATATTTTATTTTGTTTGTTGATCCTCACCCGAGGATATTTTTTCCATTGATTTTTTTTTAGAGAGAAGGGAAGGGAGAGGGAGAGACACAGAGAGAGAAACATCGATGTGAGAGACACATCAACTGGTTGCATCCCGCACGTGCCCCAACTGGGACCGGGGATTGAGCCTGCAACCAAGGTACGTGCCCTTGTCTGGAATCAGTCCTCAGGCCAGCACTCTAACTACTGAGCAAACCGTAGGGCTATTTCATTTAAAATAAAAATAGCCTTGGCTGGGTGGCTCAGCTGGTTGAAACATTGTTTAACCCCAAAAGGTTGTGGGTTCGATATCTGAGTCAGGGCACATACCTAGGTTGTAGGTTCAATCCTGGGTTGGGGTGGGTATAGGAGGCAGCTAATCGAGGTTTCTTTCTCACATCGATGTTTCTCTTTCTCTCTCCCTTGCTTTCTAAAAATCAATTAAAAAAATATATATATATCTCCTTGGGTGAGGATTAAAGAGAAAGAAAATAATACATGCTTCATGGCATTGAATTAAATGAGATATCTCATTATATGAGATGATGTGAGTTTGGCAAAAAAAGAAACCCAAACCTCCCCCAAATTAGTAACACTGATGGCTGGGAAAGATGCAGGAAAACAGACGGCCCACGGGCATGCCCACTGTTACATCCACTTGGGGGGCCTAGCTGGCTGAGTTAAAAATGGACACTATCTTACCCTGCCCAGAGTGACTCAGCAATTAAAGCATCAGTTCCTGCACCAAAGGGTCTTGGGTTCAATTTCCGGTCAAAGGCACATACCTGGGTTGCAGGTTCGATCCCCATTCCCAGGAGGCACGTGCAGGAGGCAACCAATCAATGTGTCTCTCTCACATCGATGTTTCTCTCCCCCCTCCCTCCTTTCCATTCTTTCTGAAAAGCAATGGAAAAAATATCCTTGGGTGAGGATTAACCAAACAAAAAACAAAGTAATGGATACTGTCTTGACCCAGAAATCCCACTCTGGACCTACCCTAGATCTTCACACAGCATCACCAGGATGTTCACTGCAGCAGCTTTGTGAGGGCAAAAGAGTGGAAACAACTTCAGGGTCCCTCCATGGGAACCAGTGCTAAATAAATGACAAAGTGGAATAGTATGCAGCCGTGAAAATGAAACAAGTCTGGTGTGCCGGTGTAGACTGATTTCCAAGACAGATTGTCCAGTGGGAGAGCAAGATTAGAATATTGTCAATAGAATATTGTGCAAGGAAAGTGGAGCCTGTCCTGGCACTTTTGTTCATGTGGGTATAAACTATATCTAGAAAGATACCAAGGAAATCACTGACAGCAGCTGGCTCTAGGGAGGGCAGCTGAGGCAGGAAGGACTGTGTTTGAGCCTGTTTGTACTGATCGAATTTTTGGAACTGTGTACTTTTTCCCCATAAAAATATTAATTTTGATTCTTTTCAAAGTTACATATAGATGTGGTATAAAGAATTAATGCCACATCTAGCCAGTTTGGCTCAGTGGATAGAGCATTGATTGGCCTGCGGACTGAAGGGTCCTGGGTTCCATTTGGTCAAGGGCACATGCCCAGGTTTCGGGCTCGATCCCCAGTAGGGGGCGTGCAGGAGGCAGCTGATCAATGATTCTCTCTCATCATTGATGTTTCTATCTCTTTCTTCCTCTCCCTTCCTCGCTGAAATCAATAAAAAATACTTTTTAAAAAGGTCTTGTTTTAAAAAAAAAAGAATTAAGTGGCTCCAAAGGGCTAATACCAATAAAGGGAATAAGTAGATAAATGGTAAATATTTTACAGCATGAAATGTACTGGGGAGAAAAATAAAGCAGAAAAGGGGAGGATGGAGAGGGTTGGTGTTGCGGGTTCTGTTACTTATTTCATAGAGTGGTCCGCTGACCTCCTACGAAGGTGACATTTGAATAAAGGCCTGAAGGAGGAGAGGAAGGAACTGCAGAAAAGAGAGTTCTGGGCGAGGGGACACTCGGTGCAGAGATATGAGGGTGGAAGCACGCCTGGTCTGTGCAGGGCACAGTGAGAGGAACTTGTGGTTAGGCGGAAGTGAACGAGGGGCAAGTGGGAGCAGAGGTGAGGTCAGAGAGGTGACAGGAGCCTTGGTGGCTATTGTGGTTATGGGGTGCCTCACTCTGACCCCCTCTCTCTGCTACAGAGTTCGCCAGTCCAGGAGACAACCACCACATCTGAGCTGCCTTCAGAGACTCAGGAGACCACAGGCCCTGCCCTATGCAGGTGACACCCCTCCCCTGTCCACCACCCACCACCGCTGCCCACTGTCCCTGTCCCCACCAGTGTCCTCTCTCCACAGCCCTCTCAGGAAGTCACCCCTGACCCTCGAGGACTTCAAGTTCCTGGCAGTGTTGGGCCGGGGTCACTTTGGGAAGGTGAGACGGTGGCAGGAAGTTGAAGAGCTGGGAATCTACAGCCTTGGGTCTCTGGACTGGTTGCTAAGGCCACCCCTGCCCACTGTGGTTACAGGTGCTGCTTTCTGAGTTCCGGCCCAGTGGGGAGCTGTTCGCCATCAAGGCTCTGAAGAAAGGGGACATTGTGGCCCGAGATGAGGTGGAGAGGTGGGGACCCTGCTCAGGGCGTCTGAGAACATCCGTCTTCTCTCCTGGGAAATGGGAGCCAGCAGTCCTTCCTCACTCTCACTGAGCTAGTGCTTAAGAAAATACGGACTCTTTTCTTAACATTTACTATTTACTTATTTATACTAACTCTTAGAAACATCCACTCTGTGCTTCATATTCAGTGACTCATTTGTCCCCACAACAGCCCTGTGTGGTCAGTACTGTTATTATTCCCATTCTCCTGGTGGCACAGAGAAGTTGAGCAAGTTGCCTGAGGTCACACAGCCAGTAAGCAGCCGGTCCAGGATTTAAACCTAGGGATTCGGCTCTGAAGCCTGTGCTTTTTTTTTCTTCTTTTAATTGATTTCAGAGAGGAAGGAAGAGGAAGATAGGAACATTAATGATGAGAGAGAATCATTGATCGGCTGCTTCCTGCACACCTCCTACTGGGGATTGAGCCCACAACCCGGGCATGTGCTCTGACCTGGAATCGAACCAGGACCTCCTGGTTCATAGGTCAATGCTCAACCACTGAGCCACACCAGCTGGGCTGAAGCCTATGCTCTTAATGGTGCCATCGCATTGCCTCAGCTTTGGGGTCAGGGCCCTGAGTTCAAATCCCATCTCTGCCACAGACATACTCAGAGATCCTGGGGAGACCCTTCTGAACCTCAGCCTACCCCTCTATAAAAGGGGAGTAATAGTGTATTTCTTGCAGGGTAATCAAGGTGCATTAAATGAGAGACTGAATCTAGAGCATTCTGCATAGTGCCTGGCCTCCTGTAAATTCTCAGTTAGAAACAGTGAGACTGTCCCCAATCTTCTTGATATCTTTTTGTTAATCAGGAACCCAATTCTGGCAGGCTTAAGCAAATAGAAGAATTTATTGCTCCGGATCAGAAATGTCCAGGGGTGTCTGCCTTCAGGCATGGCTGTATCCAGGTGCTCAGATAATGTCTCTCAGTTCTGCTTTCCTGTGTATGGGCTTTGCAGTCCCCTCACAGCGGCAGAGATGCCCTCCACCCAGCAGTTTAAGGCTCATCCACTAGATTTAGCCCTTCTTCCTTAAAAATTCCAGGAGATCCCAGTCATATGCCTATGTTGCGGGCTCCATCCCCAGTAGGGGGCGTGCTGGAGGCAGCCCATTGATGTTTCTCTCTCTCTCTTCCTCTCTCTGCAATCAATAAAAACATTTTTTAAAAATATATTTTTATTTCAGAGAGGAAGGGCGAGGGAAACAGAGAGAAACATTAATGATGTGAGAGAATCATTGATCAGCTGCCTCCTGCACGCACCCTACTGGGCATTGAGCCCATAACCCAGGCATGTGCCCTTGACCAGAATCGAACCTGAGACCCTTCAATCCACAGGCTGATACTCTATCCATTGAGCAAAACCAGCTTGGGCAATAAAAACATTTTTAAAAAATTCCAACAGAAATCCTGAGATTGAGCCCCATTGGCTTGGCTTCCTCGTTCCTGAATAAATTCCTGGCCAGGGAGATGGGGTGCTCCAATAGCCCACCCCTTGCAGCTCCCCAAAGAGAAGTTGGGGGACTGTTACTAGGATGACAGATGGATTCTGGGAGCCTGTTTAGCTGACAAGGCTGCCGAAGTTCAGAGATATGAAGCAATTTGCCCAAGATTGCACAGCCATACGAGGCCTTCAACAAATATCCAATGTTTGAGGACTCCAGGGAGTGTGAGAGTTGGGGGTAGGGAGCTACTATGCTCTCTGACCCCTGTCCCCACCCTGTCCAGCCTGATGTGTGAGAAGCGGATCTTGGCAGCGGTGACCAGCGCAGGACACCCCTTCCTGGTGAACCTGTTTGGCTGTTTCCAGACACCGGAGCACGTGTGCTTTGTGATGGAATACTCGGCTGGTGGGGACCTGATGCTGCACATCCACAGTGACGTCTTCTCCGAACCCCGAGCTATGTGAGCCCGGCCCCCTGCACCCCATGCCTCAGCCCCTTCTCACTCCTCCCCCTAAAGATCCCACCTTCCTCCCTGCCCGCCGCCCCCCCCCCCCCGAGCCCTTGGAGTCTGGTCGAATGGGGGCTTTTGAGGATGTGGCATCCAGGTTTGTACGATCTTCCTTGTGGGGAGGCCTGGCTCCCTCACACCAGCCTCTCTCTGCAGCTTCTATTCAGCCTGCGTGGTGCTGGGGCTGCAGTTTCTCCACGAACACAAGATTGTCTACAGGTGTGTGCCAGTGCGTGTGCATGCTCATGCGTGCATGCTCTGCCCACTGGGGGGCCCTCAGGCTTCAGGCAGGGCCCCCATTCCCACTCATTCCTCTTTACATCCCCCAACCCCTCACAGGGACCTGAAGTTGGACAATCTGCTCCTGGACACGGAGGGCTATGTCAAGATCGCAGACTTTGGCCTCTGCAAGGAGGGTGAGGGGCGGGGCAGGGATCTGAGGGTATTAGACAGAATGGGGGGAAGGAATGGAGTCCCCAACCCTACCCAGGTTATCTCACAACCCCACCCTTGATCCTGGGACAGGGCTGGGGGGACCCCCTCCATCCCCCAATAATCTCACATGTCCCTGCTGCCCCAGGGATGGGCTATGGGGACCGGACCAGCACATTCTGTGGAACCCCGGAGTTCCTGGCCCCCGAGGTGCTGACAGACACGTCGTACACGCGGGCGGTGGACTGGTGGGGGCTGGGCGTGCTGCTCTATGAGATGCTGGTTGGTGAGGTGAGGCCACAGGCTGCCCCCACCCTGCTTGTCCCTGGGATGGCACTGGAACCTGCGTGTGCCCAGGGGTGGAATCAGAATCTGCCTCCAACACATGTTGTGTGATCAGGGGCAGTTGGCTTCTCTTCCCTGGCCTTAGTTTCCAAATTGTAAAGTGGGGTACATACCCTCTGTGTGCAGGTGCAGCCAGAGCAGAGGGCTTTGGGGCTGGGTGTGGCATGGCCAGAGGAGGTGCCTAATTCATTCCCCTGTTCTCCCTGTTCCCAGTCCCCTTTTCCAGGGGACGACGAGAAGAAGTATTTGACAGCATCGTCAACGCTACCCCCGATTCCTGTCAGCTGAAGCCATCGGCATCATGCTCAGGGCGAGGACCCTCTAAGCTGGGAGTACTGGGGGAGGGGGGAGGGGCTCTGGGGTCCGGAGGGGAGACTGATACAGTGCCCCCAAGCGCAGCTTCTGCGAGAGGAATCCGGAGCGGAGGCTGGGATCCAGCGA